CTTTGGACATAGGACTTGAAGCAATGAGCTGTAACTGACCTAGAAGCCACTTCCCCTGAAGGCATGCTATCATAGCTTTGGAGAGCACTATGCAAGCTGGTAAGGGAGAAAACCAATCGATGGTCCAACCCCAGCTTCAAAGCCTAAAATCCACATCAATGGCCAGCACAGCAAACAACATGGGTGCAGTAGTGGCACTGTTTTTTTTTTGTTTTGTTTTGTTTTTGTCATTTTGAAGCAGGGTTTCCCTGTAGCCCCAGCTGTTTTGGAACTCACTATGTAGACCAGGCTGGCCTTGAACTCACAGAGATCCGCCTGCCTCTGCCTCCCAAGTGCTGGGACTATGCCACACCCAGCTAGTAGTGACACTTTTATCTTGGAGGTAATCAACAGCTACCTAATTGAACTTAGAGCCCACTCAATGGGAAGAAACGTGTGTGGTACTGTAAACCTAGCCAAATACACATAGCTAGAGAGGTCACAGATCTTAGAGAAAACCCCAAGGCTGTTATATCCCTAGAAATATGTAATTTCTTACTGTGTGCAAAATATGAATCCTTAAATTTACAGACAAGTATCCCAGACACCACCCATTGAAGCAGCTTCTTTTTCAACAGAGATAATTATAGAGTTCCACAACTGGTCATACACAGATACTGTTTCTGAATTGCCCAAGCCTAAGTGACACATCTACGATGTAATCTCTACACCTAAGGCTCTCACAGAACATAGAACAAGGGATAAAAAGAACACGAATGCATCTTTCAAATCTTATTAGTGAAGCTCCCTCATGTAACAAAGGGCCAGGAACACAAATGGCCAAAATGTACAGAATAAGAGTCTACAGAGTATGGGTCCTTGGACAGGACTCCTATACTAAAGTCCACCCACCCAGGGCTCAGGGACCACTGCAGAAGAGGGGGTGGAAAGATTGTAAGATGCAGGTAGGAGGTGCATAACCACATGGAAATAGAATCCTACAGGCTCCTGAAACCTTGCTCATATGAACCTACAGCAATGGTGTCAGCATGCACAAGACCCATGCAAACTCAAGCAAAGACCCAACATAGAACTGTGGAAATGGACAGCAGGCCCCAATCTTAGTTGAAAAATTATTGGCAGCTGATTACTGCTGGGTGAGGAAGAGCTGATCTGCTTAACAGGAGGGACTCCAGATAGTCTGACTAGACCTCAGTGGATGAACCTGCACTGAGGGACGTCTGGAGACACTAACTTGACATGATAGGCCGTAACACAAATGACAGAATACATGAAATCCAGTGTGTGTGGGGGGGGCTATACAAGGAGGCCAGTGGGGTAAGGGGTATAAGGATGATTAAGATGTTCTATATGAAATACACAAAAATTCAATAAAAATTTCAAAAAAATTAATTAATTAATTAATTAAAAAATTCAGATATCCAAAGACTTGAGAATTTAGGTGCAGGCAATATTACTGGATCATTTGAAATACCATCTGAAGGAGAGGACAGTTAGAGCACAGCACTTTTCTTATCTTACCCAGTAGAGAAATATGGGGAAATTCATTACCTGGCTTCCATTTTAGAATCAGACTGACTCAGGGATGTGTACTGCTATTTACCTGAGCCAACAAGATGAAGCCAGACCTTCTGACAAGTTACATTTGACCTAACTGGTAGATTTAGATAGGATCACCTTTATTTAATGGAAAATGTTATTGAGAGTACATATTCAACAAGACAGAAGCTAATTCCTATGCCCCTATTAATATTTGTAGTTATTTGCTTTAAAATATTGAATGAACATTTTCTCCTATTGTACAGGTTGTGCAAAGAGTCTGAAGACCTCCTTCTACATCTGACTAGCTCCAACTATATGTGCATAATTCCACATCTCCTTTGTCACAACAGTGTCTGTAACATGGACTCTCCTCCCTCTTCTTTTCTCTCTTTTTTTTTCCCCAGAGATAACATTCTTGCTACATACCAATACTAGTCTTGAAATCACTGTTTATTGTGAGGCATCAGGCTAGCTACAAACTCTTGATCCTCCTGCTTCAGCCTCCTAATTAGCTTGGATTACATATATGTACCATTGAACTCGGCTCATCATAAAACCAATTATTTTTTAAAAAATATTATCATTGTGTGTATATGGGCATGTGTGTCAGAGGACAAACTTGTAGAGTACATTTTCTCCTTTCACCTTTTATGTGGGTGGATCAAACTTAGGTCACTAGGCAAGAGCAGCAAGTACCTTTAACCACTGAACCATCTCCCTGAACCAATTCTTAATCATATATCAGAGAAAGACTATTATAGCAGTCTGAGAAGGGAGGAAGGAGGGAGGGGAAATAGAGCAGGGAGATGGAGAGAGGGGGAGAGGGAAGGAGCGGGAGAGGGAGAACGAATATGAGAATATGTGTGTAATAAATAGACAGAGGCTGATAATGTTTGGATATGTGGCTTATATTTTAAGAGTACTTCATTTCACATTACACCCCAGTTACTGAATCTGAAGTTTCATGAACATTTATATGAGATTATATGCATGTGTGTGCTATCACGGAAAAATATTATTTGGCCTTTGTGTTCTATTCCTGCTCCTAACATCTTTGGAACATCCTGAGTGGTAAGGGTAATAAGGCCATCTTTTATTCTAATAAGGTGAGATACCTGTTGGGTCCCTAGATAGCATCAGGATAGGGTTTGACTGCCAGAAAGACAAACTTTGATTAGAAAGTAGAAAATTTTATACTACTTTATTGAATTTTTGTGCATTTCATACAATGCATTTTAATCATATTTAGACCCCCCCCTTACCTGCCCCCCCCCATAAGAAGCTAGGAATTTTCAACCACAGTTCCTAACCTCCAGGATGGGGAAAGTCGGTAAAATTTATTAATCAGCTATGTGTATATAAATAAATAAAGCCCTTAGCAAGAGGGTTGGAGAGCTCTGGAGTTGGAGACTCCATAGAGACAGAAGATTCCTACATTAGGAAACCCTGTGGACCTCACCCCATGTGTCTATTCAGCTAGTTGCTTATCTGTGTTCTTTATAATTAACTTAATAATATGTAAAGCATTTTCCAGAATTTTGTGAACAATTCTAGCAAATGATCAAACCTGAAAGGGGGAGGTATTACAGGCACTTCCTGACTTTTAAACAATTCAGATGGAATACTGGTGTAACTAGGGTACTTGACCTTCTCATCAGCATCTGAGTACAGTCGAATGGATTGAACTTTGAGCTCGTTGGAATCTGATCATAACTATATAGTAACAGTCAAAACTGAACTGAACTGTAAGACAGCAGTTGTGTCCAGAGAATTGGCGAATACACCTTTTGAGTGTTAAGTAAAAATATCATATATATATAATGTATGCATAATCAATACATGTATTATATAATCTCAGAGAAATGTTTAGAAAACAATTTAGAAGTTTACCAATTATGAATATGATTTGAAACTAAATCTATGATAGATATTTTCTAAATTCTATTTAATATGCCTAGATGATATGTTTGGGTAATAGTATTTGTAAATTCAAATTACAGAAATCTTTAATTCTTTTTATGGTTGCAATGTAAATTGCAACTATCCATATACCAATACCCAACTACAAGGCTATCAAATAAAGGATGATACAGAGGCATACAAGTAACATTCCATGGCATCATATTTCATAGAAAGAAATACTCACCCCAAATGATTCACCAATTGAGACTAAGATTCTGTCAAAATAAAATGTGAATTAGTAGTGAAAATTATAGAGATTTTGCAGATATGCAGAGATGAAGATAGACACTTCATTCTGAACTATCAGAAACCAGATCAAAGGATTCTTGTACCTATAACCATTGACAAATTATATCCAGTGGGTGATTACTCTGATAGTGCTAGTATGATCAAGCACTTAGCTAGTCAGATGTTTGTTTTATGGTGCTGGGGATCAAACCCAGGGTTTCAAATATGCTAGGTATTTGCTCTATCACTGAGCTACAACTCCAATCCTCTTAGGTTCTCAGCAAGAACTCTAGGTCTGTGAAACATAATTCTGCCATGGCCCACATTTAAAGATGATTTTTAAATTTTAAGTTTACCTTTACTTAGTTCTTCATAATTCTACAAATGTTTAACTTCATTCACATTTCCTCATTTCTAAAGTTACATTTCATACAAATGTATAAAATAAGTACTTTTTTAAAAAAAATTAAGAGCTAAAGAGATGGTTCAGCTAGTAAAGGCACCTACTGCCAAGAATGACAACTTGAGTTGAATCACCTACATAACAGGAGAGATTCAGCTCCCACAAGTTGTCCTCTGACTTCCACACATGCATTGTGACATGCATGCACCCCCTCGTAATAAATGAAAAATACAACAAAATAATTTTAAGTGCTTTTATTTTATTTAAGTGTTTTTCCTGCAGGTATGTAAGTGTATCTGCGTAGTACAATGCCCACAGAAACCAAGAAGAGGATGTCAGATCTCCTGAAACTGGAGTTAAGGACAGTTGTTAGACCCATGCAGATACTGGAAACTGAACCTGAGTCCTCTACAAGAGCAACTAGTGCTCTTAACTGCTGAGCCATCTCTCCAGCCCCAAAAAATAACAATTAAAAAAAAAAAAAAACTTAAAGGCATGCGTACCTATACCCCCCACCCTTCCCACAAATAAGTGTAATTTTAAAAATGTTTCAAGTTTATAAAGCAATAATTAGACTTTAATTGCGATCTATATTGACATATGGAAGCTAATGGTTATACATCCTAGAATGAGAGATCCTTACTACTGTCTGTTCATTTCAACCTTATAGTTTATGCTGTTTTTCTGTTTCTTGGTACTAGGGATTGAACCTGGGGCCTTGTATATGTTAGGATGGTGTTCTACCACCAATTTTGAGACAGAGTCTCACTAAGTTGCCTAGCAGGCCTTGTGATCCTCTTGCTTCAGCCTCCTAAGCAGCTCAGATTATAGGCCTGTGCTACAGACCAAACTGCAATTTATATTCTTGATTAAAAAAGTGAAAAAGTATTGACTCAGTACAACTCAGTAAAGACTTAAAGCTATGTACACATAACTAGTGGCTATGTAGACTTAGTGTCCTCATTTCCTTCATAAGTGATAGTCCACACATAATACTTGATTAATTAGAACACTTAAGTATGCTGGATAAACAAAGTGCTAAGATGCTCTCTAAAGAATCATCAGTAATGTACTAGCTAGAACATTCAGAATGCAACTTTTTTTTGGCTAAAGAGCAGCAATTCATGCTGGACATGGTGGTTCACCCCTGTAATCCCAAGACTTAGGAGGCCTAGGAAGGAAGATTGCCATGACTTTGAGGCCACCTTCTACTACAAAGTAAGAGATCCTGTCTCAAAATAAGAGAGAGAACTGCAATACAGAATTGATTTCCTTAAGAACAGCAAACAGCCATCATTATAATCACAATACAAATTAATTATCATCATTAAGAAATTACCTAAATATACACTGTCATGTGGCAGCATGGGACTGTATACATTTACTTAAGTAGATGTGGCCTGGCTTCTTAGCAGCTTACAATGTGAATTGTAAATAGCTCTATACAGATAGCCAGATACAAGTAAACCACATAGACACAGAAGGACTCAGGATCACACAAGAGCCTTTCCATTGGATTTCCAATTATTTTTTACTTAATATTTTTGTAGAGTTTGAAATTTTTATTAAAAGTGTGTATTACTCATGTAATTAAATGTACCACACAGATATTTCCTAAATAGCTAATACAGCCCCTTCTCCTTGTTTGTTTTTCTTGCTCATTAGGTAAAACTATATTTACTGAGAATTTCTGATGAGACTACATTAATTATACTTGCTAATTGGCCTCCTATTTTATAAACATTAAGCCAGTTTCAAGTAGTCCATGATAACATATAATTAGTCAATTGAAGGACTTCAAAGCTGGGGAATATTGTGATTTGTAGTTGTATAGAACTTTCATCTGAGAATTTAAAACAGCTTCACAATCATTTTGCTGAGCCACAGCACTCTTCTTAAACACATATAGAGACCTACCCAATGTAATGTAAGAAATCCATCAGCAGAATAGTTGTTAAAGACTTAATTGACAGTCATCTACATTTAATAAGTCATCTACATTTTAAAAACTTACTACTCTGTGTGTGTGTGTGTGTGAGAGAGAGGGGGAGAGGGGGAGAGGGGGAGAGAGGGAGAGAGGGAGAGAGGGAGAGAGGGAGGGAGGGAGGGAGGGAGAGCACGCATGCACCGTGAGATCCATAGATGAACTCAAGATACCAGGTTTGCTTGGCAAACACTTTTCCAGGCTGAGCCATCATGCTAGCTCTCATGATTGGATTTTTGTAACAAGCAAAGTTAAGTAAGGTCCATAGAAAACATTTACAGGAAATCAGTAAAATTGGAATAAGTTTACAGGAAACCAGTAAATTTGGAATAAAGTTTATTAAGCTAAAGCAGTCTACTTTGATGACTTACAAAACTATGAAAGTCTTTTGAAACACACTGAAACTGGTTCTCAGACTATTTTAAAAAGAAGAGAGCTCAGCAGCAGGGAAAGTTCATGATTAATCTTGCAATCCATCCAGATAAAAGCAGATTCTCTTTTCCCCAAAATTCTTAATTATACATTTATTTAATATAAGTAAGCAAATTAGAAACTCAACACTATTTTGTATGCTTAAATCAAAATGATCAACTTATTTTTATTTTTTAGCATTTCCTTAAAGAGGAAACACCAACCTTGATCTTGGAGTCATCTTTGTGGGTGTTGGCAGACCTTCTGAAATTTTATAAGGACTCTTCAAGGGTGATATATAGATGTTACCTCCAGGAATTCTTAAGGGTGAATTAGAAAACTTGTAGGGGCTTCGAGGAATGTGAGGTATTGGTGACAAGGTAGGAGGCTAGAACAAAAATGAAGAAGTACTGACATGATGTTTATTGGGACCGTTACGTTTGTCACTGGAGTCCCCCATCAAAGGACACTTTCAACATACCCTGGTGGAAGCATATTGTAAAATGTTTGTCTTTAGTCTCTGCATGAAAACCGAGTTATAGAATACTATAATGGAATCAAACTCCTCTTCTCTGATCAAAACACGTTTGAAGGTCTGAGGAAGAATAAAAAGACTTGTTAAATGAATTTAAGAACTTATCTCTTTAAATTTTCCTTTTAATAATTCTAATACTTTTAACTAGTCAAAAACACATTTTATTCAGAAAACAATAGTCTGAAAGGCTTCCTTAGGCTTGAATTAATAGATGCACACTCAAAAATGAAATGTCACCAAGAGATCCAGAGAAGGGACCAACAGGGCAGCCACAGACAGAACAGCTGACCATCCAGTAAGGGAGTAGACAGGCTGACAAGATGGAAGCAAAGGGCTGGAGTTGAGCAAAAAAGCCAACAGCGTTCCCCCCGGTAGGCAACCAATTCACTGGCTGCACCAGCCCACATCCCCTACTTAAAGGGTCCCGAAAGTATACACTGCTCCTTTGCAAGAAGCAGACAGTAACAGCACTTATTCTGCAAGTAGATTTTACTCAACTTTATGTATTTAATTCATTTCTTTATTTTTATAGGCAGGGTCCCACTATATAGCTCTAAACTCATTACACCCTTCCTCAGCCACCCAAGTTTAGGAATTATAGGCCTGTGCCACCATGCCCAACTTATACATAAACTTTAGTTACATAAAAGTACAGAAATTTTATAGAATGCCTCATACGCAATCTAAATACAAAATTTAAAAATAATTCCAAATATATAAACAAAAGCATGGTTTGTATTGTTTTTGAAAATTCCAATGAAAAACTGGAAAAAATAACCCAGGAATCACCATTGTGCCCAGAAGAGCGTGAAATGAGTATCATATACATGGGTTTTCTCACTATGGCTTCTCTGCAGAAGAGGAAGCTAGAAACATGAAATGTGCTTACTCCAAAAATTTGTGTTATGTCTTTATAAGGCTGCACTTACACTGGCTTTTCCTGTGGAATATTAAAAACTAATATAGTCATATTATTTGGTCATGTTTATTACACATATCCTGCTTATTAGATATAGATACAGTATTGTTTATTAACTTAAACTATGGATTGGAATGGATTTCAGTTTGCCTTAGCTTTCTAATTCCATTTTAGTTACAAATAATTAACTAATCTTATAAAATTAAATCAGAATATATGACCTTTAACAACTGGAATTATATTATGAGTATGGATCTAATTTTATTAAAAATCTTACCATGAATGATCACCTACCTCCTGGACAGCGTGAGGCAGATCTCTGTAGGCTGTTACGATGATTTTGAACTTCAGGTCAATGTTCTTCACTTTACATATACCATACATAGAGCACATCATAATCTAGTATGCAGATATGATAGAGGTCATAACCTTAGTATGACACCTTGCTTTTAAAAGTACTATTATCTTTATTTTGGCCCTAAAAGAAAGATGTTTAATTTCTTCTATGATTTTTTTTCATCATGAGCTCAATTTAAAAGTCTGTGAAGTGTTTAACCCAAATACTTATGTTTTTGAAAGAACAAAATGCAAGCAGTTAACTCAATTATTCAGGTTTGATTGTCTAGTCTGTAAATTATCCCAACTTTGGCTCCTGTTCTTTAGTATTTTCCAGAAAAGTGTTCAAACTTGAACCAGTTAATTACATTATTCACACTTTTAAAAATGTGTGAAAAAGTTTCAAGCTGTCAAAATAATATAGAATAACCTGGTACCAGAAGGAGGTGGTGGTGACAGAGACTCCATATTGTTAATTGTACTCTGAATCTTGATCTGAATATAAGTTGAAGGAGTTCAGTTGAATTCTGTTGTTTTTTTTTTTCCAATTAAATATATTGTTAGCTATCAGGTTTTTAAAATATACATCGAATTTCCTCCTATTTTTTGTTTTTTTAATGCCTTTAACAGAAAGTGTGTTGGATTCTGTTAAATTATTTTTCTAAAGCTACTTATATGATCATGTAGTTTTTGTTAGTATTATTAATTAACTTGGAGTGTAACATTAATTGATTTTTCAGATGTTAAGCCAATTCTGCATTTCTGGGAGCATATATCTCATTTGGGTATAGTATATAATCTTTTTGATATGTTCTTGGATTTAGCTTAGCTAGTATTTCCTTAAGGGTTTTCACATAAAGATATTTGTGGTTTCTTATAGTGTTTTCATGTGGTTTAGGTATCAGCAAAATACTGTCCTTATAAAATCAGTTGTGAATTCTAACTTCAGAAGAGTTTATTTAAAATTCATACTGGGTCTTCTTTGCTTCATGAAATGTTCACCAGTGAAACCACGTTGGTACAGGCTTTTGTTTGTGAATAGCTTTTGATTACTAATTCAAGATCAGGTTTTCTATTTTTCTTTTTCTGGAGTTGATAGTTTGTGTAGTTCTAGAAACTTTTGTTTCATCTTGGATATCTATTTAATTTATACACATTTTCATAGTATTCTTATATAATCTTTTTATTTCTGTGAGGTTGGTAATAATGTTCTCCTAAAGAATATTTTAAAGACTTGTAAAAAAATGTCTTATTTTTATTTTTTATGTGTATGTTTTGCTTGCATGTATGTAAGTACACCCATCCCATGTCATGCAATGCTTGCAATGGCCAGAAGAGGGCATCATATTCCAGCCCCCAAGAATGATATTTTAAGCAAAAAAAAAAGAAAAAAGATTATTCTTTAAAAGTATAACCTACAGATATACATATTTTATAAGAGCATATTTTGATATATGATGGGTATTTTAAAATAGATAATTTATTGCCTTATGTTCTCACTGCTTTCTATAATATAGAAAGAAGGACTCCTAGAGGGAATGAAAATTAAAAACTAACGCTTCAAGCCGGGCGTGGTGGCGCACGCCTTTAATCCCAGCATTCAGGAGGCAAAGGCAGGTGAATCTCTGTGAGTTCAAGGGCAGCCTGGTCTACACAGTGAGTTCCAGGACAGCTGGGGCTACAGGGAGACCCTGTCTCCAAAAGACCAAAAAAAAAAAAAACCAAAAAAACAAAAAACAAAAAACAAAAAACACTAATGCTTCAAAAGGATACATTTAAAAAGTAAAATAAGTTACATGATGGGAAAGAAACATTTGCAAATCATGTATCGCATACAGGAACTTATATGTATAATATATAAAAATTCTTGCAACTCAACAAAAAAGATAAGTCAATTTTAAAAATGGAGAAAAGACCTTTTCTTGCTTTTTTGTTCTTGAGAAAGGGTCTTCCTATAGCTTGGAACTCACTATAGACCATGCAGCCTCAATCTCAGAGATCTGCCTGTGAGTACTTGTATTAAAGACTGCGTCTGGCTTGTTTTTGTTTGTTGAGACAGAGACTCACTATGTACCCAGGCTGGCTCAGTCCAGGAGGAATGCTAGGATTATAGGTGTGCATCATCATGCCCACTATTAAAGGACATTAATAGATGATTCTCTAGAGAAGATATACAAATAGCCAATACACATAGAAAGATGTTCAATATCATTAACTATCAGAAAAATGCAAATCAAAACAGCAGTGAGATACTACATCAAGTCTACTACAATGGCAACAATAAAAAAAAAGGTAAGCAACAAGTTGGTAAAATGTAGAAAGATTGGAACCTAATATACTATTTGGAAGAATGTAAAATGGTATAGTTACTCTGGAAAACAATCCAGCCATTCCTCAAAAGGTTAAACAAAGATTTATAATATGACCCAGCAATTTTACTCTGAAGTATATACCCAGGAGAAATAAAACATATCCTCACAAAATTATACATGAATGCTCATAGAATATTATACATAATAGCCTAAAGTAGAAATAATTCAATGGCTATCAACTGATGAATGATAAACATATATCCACATAACTGAGTATTACTTAGCAATAAAAATGAATGCAGTACTGATACAAGCTACAATATAGATGAACCTTGAAAATATGCTACATGAAAGAAGTCAAACACAAGGCTGAGAATGTAGCTCAGTGGTAGAGTACTTGCCTAGCATTTGCAAGGCTGTGGGTCCAACAACCTCCCAACATATGCAAAGCCAAACATTAAAAAATGCATATGATTACATTTGATATGAAATATCTAGATTAGGGAAATCTACAGAGACAAAGTAGATTAGTGTTGCTTAGAGCTGGAAGGATGTGGGATACAGAGAGTTACTACTAAAGGTTTCTCTTTGGTGTGATAAAAATGATCTAAAATTTATTGTGGTAGTTGTACAATTCTATGAACAGACTAAAGCCACTGAATTATACATTTTAAATGTGTGCTTTGTATGATGTATGATACATCAATAAGCTGCTGTCCACCTCTTCAAATACTGATACCTCTTTTGAGAGAAGAGAAAGGAGGCTACAGGGAATCATTCTCTGTTTTAAACCCTCTCTCACGTTCTCCCTCCTTCCTCCCTTCCTCTCTTCTTTCCTTCTAATAGACACTGTTTGAGATCATGTGAATATTTTTTCTTCTTTTTTTCCGAGGGACTAGGATTGGACCACCAGGGCTTCATGTATGCTTGGTAACTACTTTAACAGTGAGCTACGTCACCAGCCCTTTTATTAGTTTTATTTTGAGATAGTAAGTCACTAAATTGTCCAGGCTGGCCTTGAACTTGCTATGCAGTGGTGGTAGTCCTCACACTTGTGAATGTCCAGCCTTAGCCCTGTGAGAATAGGTGGGATTATATAGGCTGATGCCCCCACTCCTGGCTAGATCGGGTTCTTACTTCATGGTATTTCTATACTAAAATGAAGTCTCACTTATCACAATACAGAAAAGGTTCATGGGTTATTCAGTGATTTTTGAAATAAAAATGTTTGTGTCATTGAATAGATACTGAAATGTACTTTTGAAATTAAAACTCCAAATTGTAAGAATTATAAGAAATTGTATCCAATAAGTGAATATATGTAAATTATGCTAAATTAATCTAGCTATTCATTTGAATCTACTCTTCACACAAAAACAAAATATAGCTAACACAATATAGGGAAAAGAGATAGTGAAGTGCTTGATTTTCTTACCTGGTCCAAATGCCGGTCTCTCATGAGTTCATATTCATTTTGCAATGTATGCTGGAACAGAGTCCAAATAATGTGCTCTAGTTCTGGGTGGTCAGACAGAAGACGCGCACACAGTGTATTTAGTCGGAGATATGCTAGCCGGTACACTGTAGGCATAAGGGGAATGAACTATGCTTAGTGTTCATTTTCAACTACAAATGGAGTTTTCAAAATCATTAAATTGCTATTTCCATAATACCGGTAAATATCATTTTAACAGTGACCTAACCTCTAACACTATTTTCTTTATGAATAAATAATTCGTAGTATTAGCACAGTGTTACAGTCAGAAGGCACAATAGTATTTGCTGAATTAGCCATTATATCATGAAACTGAGGCGGGGGGGGGGTTGTAAGATATTGTGAAATTGGGCAAACCAAGTAAGATTTGCTTCAGTTCTAGTTGGTAATCACTCAGCAGAGATGTTGGAAATTTCTACTTTAAGTATTAGAGAGATGACTATTTTTAAAATAATGGAAATATGATTATTATTTTCCTATTCTAAAAGAAAAACACACCCCACATTTCTCTATGAAATATCAATGGACCATGCTCTTGAAAAGTGGTAGATCTGTAAACTGTATGAGTGCAACATGACTGTGAAATGAAATTTAGTTTCTTTAAAATACTATTATAACTTTGGAGAGAAGGGATCATGGCACTGAATTTTTATTCATCTGCTTTAAATGTAAAGAGTCTTCATTCAAAATGTTCCTTTAAAGACCTGCATAAGGTGGGCTGGAGAGAGATAGTTCAGTGGTTTAAGAGCACTGTCTGCTCTTGCAGAGGACAACAGTTCAGTGGGAACCGACATGATAAAGAACAACTGCCCATAATTCCAATTCCAGTGGCTCTGACACCCTCTTCTAGTCTCCACAGGCATTGTATGCACAGGTGCACTTACATACATGCAGGTAAAACACTTATATACATAAAATAAATTTAAAAAAATTTTAAAGACTTGTATAAGGTAAACAGAAATTTTTAAAATTTTATTTATTACTTTTATTTTATGCATGTGTTATATGCCTGCATGTAGGTAAAGTGCACCCGTGTTGTGCAATGCCCGCGGAGGACAGAAGAGGCTGTCAGATCCTCTGGAACTGGCGTTACGGACAGTTGTTAGCTGCATTCGAGCCCAGGTCTTCTACAAGAACAGCCAGTGTTCTTAACTGCCGAATCATCTCTCCAGCCCTGTAAACAGAACTTTTTAAAGTAAAAATTTATGCTCAAAGCTCTAAAACTTTATTGTATATCAGACTTGCCTAAAGGGTTATTAAAAATCTGGAGGCCCTATTGTAGAGTTTCTGAATGAGAGGATCTAGGTGGACCCCCTGCCCCTGAAATTTTCATATAACTTTCCAGTGGCATGGATCCTGTTGGTTAGGGACTGCCCTTTGAGAAAACTACTACACTAACTCAAAGACTAAGTCTTACTATATGCCTATGAGGCTCAGTATTTTTTTTGGGGGGGGGGGTCTCTTTGAAGCAGGGTCTCCCTGTAGCCCCAGCTGTCCTGGAACTCACTATGTAGACCAGGCTGGCCTTGAACTCAGAGATCCACCTGCCTCTGCCTCCCAAGTGCTGGGACTACAGGCGTGCACCACCACGCCTGGCTATGGCTCAGTATATTTTTTATTTAAATAAATTTTTTAAAAAGCCTAATCACAAAGGAATCTGTCCTTTCACTCTTTCAAAGAGCTACAAGTAGGTGAGCATTTGCATACACATATACATGCACAGATTTGCAAAATCCACTTCCCTATTCCACCACTTACGCATACAACCAAAGAATACTATATAACCTGGTTAGTGGACTTCTTAAGTGTTCTGAAAATATCTAAGAAATATGTTCTGTACTAGGCAGCAGCATATTCTATAATCTTAATTCTATATATACACTTAAACAACACAGTAATATTTATGCAAATATTTCCAAACATTAATTTGAAGACATATCAGAAGCAACAATACTAACAGGTAACATTTTCTGAATGCTTACTATACGTTAGGCCAGGCTCAAAACATTTTATATGTATGAATTATGCCCCAACCCTATAAGACAATATTACTATAAGGCAGATTATTATTGCTTTCATTTTACAAATAAGGAAACTGAGGCACAGAGATATTAAGTAATGTGCTCAAGGTCACACAGTAAATACTGGAGCCATGATTCAACCTAGCAAGCCTGGTTCCAAGTGCACACTCTTGAAAGTAAGCTTCTACTGACCTTTTTTGTAAAACAGGGAAAGGGAGGTAGATTTCAATGGCTTCTGTGTCTGGAAGGCTGAGGCTACTTGTGTCTCTGCATTTGCAGCAGAATTTACACGTGAAGTTGAACCTTTTTTCTTTGGGGATCTTACAGGAGAAAGATACCTAGGAGTATTTAAAGGAACAATTTTCATTTGAAGTTTGCTAGGACAGACACATGGACAGACACACACACACACACACACACACACACACACACACACACTTAAACATATGCACTCAGGCACATCTGATCAGAGCTAATATTCTATACCAAATTCCATGAGCAGACTAAATTCAAGATGGGAAAGGTAGCTTAATAGGAAAAACTGCTATCTTTTCAATCTCTAGTCTCCCTCTGACTTCCCCTTAGTTCCATAACAATTATAGAATGACTGAACTTGAGGAAACTAGGCCTCCCTTGAGTTCTACATGCAAATATCCAATTACATAACAGATAGTACTACTTGGATTTCAAACCTACTAAGGCAAAGCAGAACTCTGAATTCCTTCCCTCAGTTTTTCCCATCTCAAAAAAAAGTTTCCATATTACATCTAGTATTTTAAAGTAAAAAATCTAGGGGTGATTATTTTTATTTTCTCCATTTTCCCAGTTCCTCAAATCTAATGTAAATCTATGTAGATTATTTCTATCTCAAAATACATTACAAATCTTCATTTCCATTTTAATGTTATATATTAGACCAAGTCATCCATAGTCCTCATTTGAGCTATTGAAATAGACTTCAAACTTGTCTCCACCTTTCTTGCCTTGACCCTTTCTTTCCCCTAAGCCCATCTGTATTTCAGATAGCAGCCAGAGAGTAATCCTTTAACAATACAAATTATACAAAGCTGCATCTGTTTAAATGCTTTTTTGCTACCTTTATAAAATCTAAACTCCTTACTAAGGCTGATGGGAACTTAGAAAATCATGCCCCAGCATGCCTCTCTTATCTCATCTTAGCATTTTTATCATGTCCCATCTACCTGGGTTTCTTTCTACTCCCGAAACTCTATGTGCTCCAAAACATAAATATTTTTGCCTGGCCAGCATTCAACTGTCCATCAGATTTCCAGTCAAAATTACTTCATCAGAAAAAGGGAAGTATGTAAGACATTCTATCACCTTCTGTTTCTCATCTTCATATCACTTCATTTGTTTCATTCATAGCACTAATACCTGAAATCATCTTATGATGGGTCGTTCATATACTGCTTCCTTCCTCCAAGATACAAAACTCTACGAGGGAGGAGAAACCAGACCACCTTACAGTCTTCCCAGTGATTGGCACTGTTAACCTGGCACTTAACAGATTAACTGTTTACTGAATTAAAGGAAACATAAAGTTGACTTGTATAAAAATATTACCTAGCAAATAAATTTACACATGAATGCAAAGTCTCTGTGTTCCAGAAGTACTTTGGATAGAAGTTATCATGAAAATGACACCTCAGGAACACTATCCCTATGTAACCACAGAATACTGTGATGTCAATTCCTACATAGAATCAAGCAGAAATAACATTAAGCCCATTCTAGGAAAGGCAGAAGCTAGAGGGATTAAAAGAGCTTGGATGTTAGGATCAGACTGCCTGGGTTTCGTTTCTGTTTATCTTAGGCAAGTTACATTATTTCTTTCATTCCTATTTTACAGATAACAGATGCTGATAGTAATGGGACTACCTTTCAGGGCTAGAATGAACATTAAATGAAATCTATGAATCTGAAGGACTTAAGCATATGCCTAACACACTAGGAACCCTCAATAAATATTAGCTGTTTCTTCTCTCACCATCACCACCACACACTAATGAACCATCTCAGTACTCCACACTACTCCCTAGATTTATACTATCCCTCACTCCAAATGGTCTGATACATATTCCCTAAAAAATGTTTCCTGCTTTTCTGACCATTATGGATACATGCCATTTCTGGCTCTTGGAATATTTCATCTTGCTTCTCCAATTTCATTTTGAAATCCTATCCAAAATTTAAGACCTATCTAAATTGTCATCTGTGTTATAAAAACTTCCTTCATTACACCAATCCCATGTGATTCAGTACTTTACATGACCTTACTTAGGTTATGTGTTTTACATCCTGCCCCTTATTCCCCCTTTTTAGGAATTTTTTTTTTGAAACAGGGCTTCACTCTGTGGCAGCTGGCCTCAAACTCAAAGAGATTTGCTTGCCTCTGCCACCCAAGTGCTGGGATCAAAGGCATGCACCACCATGCCTGGCACATTCCTAATTCTTAAAAGCAGAAACAATGTCTTATGCAAAACTCTAGTTCTACAATTTCTATGTGCTGCTTTGCATTTCTCTTATGGTCAAAATCTATTTTCAGTTTGAACAGATAACATAACATATATACACTTACATATCTGCTGCAGTATGATTATTCTGGAGAGGAAGGTTGAGAGGACAAGCAGACTCAAGGTTATCAGCTGGTCCCTCTCCATCCTTTGATTGTTTAATGAGATCAAATAAAGGTGAATCCTAGATGAAAAAGATGACATTATAACAACAACAGTATGATTTTCCTCAGTACATATCAAAAGTGTATTATCTGTCAAGGTAGGCACTATTAACTTTAGACACAACCACAGTGGCAATTCAGAAATCAGAATGAGAGCCTTTCCTCCACTCTTGAGATTCCTGATTGCTCTCTGACTGTGTGCGTGCATGTGCATGTGTGTATGTGTGTATGTGTGTGTGTGTGTGTGTGTGTGTGTGTGTATGCACACATAAAAGTAGGAAAAATAACCGTATAGTCCCCCAGGGTTGAGTACATGTGTCTTAGCTTTTGTTTGTTTGTTTTTTTTTTTAAATTCTAGAATATTCACATACATAATGAGACCTATTGGGGATGGAACCAAAGTCTAAACAAGGGATTCATTAATGTTTCTTGTATACCTTATACACACAGCCTGAAGGTACCTTTATCAACATTTTTAGTTTCATTTTTTTGACTGTGATCATCATATGAGATAGTGTCATATTTGTATGTAAAAAGCTTTGGATTTGGAGCTACAGAATAGTTCCGTAGTAGAATGTCTTCTTAGCTGGAGTGATACTGTGGACTCTACCCCATAACAAGCAGCTTTGGATTCTGAAGCAATTGAATTTCAGAGTTTATAGTGATGTTCAACCTTCTTAGAAAAGAAGGTAGAAGTCAAAAGATGTACAAAATACTCAAAGAAGGTAGGAAGAAGTAAATGATAAAGATACAAGCATAATTTAGTAAACTGAATTTATAAAATATATGACTTGATCTACAAGAAAACAACTGTTCTTTAAAATAAAAAACAAGCCTCCAGTCACATTGACTTTAAAAAAAAAGAGAAAGAGAGAGAAGGGATAAATAGTATTATATATGACAAGATATACCTCTGCAGTAGGAAGTGTTTCTATGAACCAGGACATTGGCTTCAAGGTCAACATCCCAATAATACATAAGCAACTAATATCTGTTTTTTCTACTGCACAGGGGGCCTGATATAGACCCTGTCCTTGCCCATCATAGGTACTTAAGAGAAGATCAACCTTTTCCATCTTCAGCTCAGGAAAAGGGAAATGTGACAGATTGAAGCTTTTAATCCTCTCCACAGCGTCTTCTAGTAACTGTCAACCCAGAGAGTAAGAAACACATAAATCACATCCACACTCCTTTCTGCTCTTTGTTCAGACTTTGAGAATGCTACTCCTGGATGGAGGGATTTCCCCATCTCACAATACTGATATTAGGCCTTTGCCAGGATTTGCGTTAACTTCTTTCTTATTTTTGAATTAGGAAGGAAAGACTGATCTTTCAACATCTCAAATAATTGTGCCTTTTTCTACTTTGAAAAGAATAGCTTTATCAGAATAGATTTTTATAGCCAATAAATTCAACTCATTTTTCCCCAAGAACTGTAGTTACAGATGATTACTAGCCCCTATATGTGTCCTGGGAATTGAACCCAGGTCCTCTGCAAGAGCAGTCAGTGCTTTTAACCGCTGAGCCATCTCTCCAGCCCTGAGAATTCTTTTTTTTTTTTTTAAAAAAAGGTGAATTCATAATTTCCAGCTTGAATTTATTCACATGGCAAGGCGGTTCAACATTAAGAAGGTTATTAGCAATCATCTCATTAATAAATCTAAGATGAAGAATCTTATCAAAATAAATGCAAAATTCTAATTTAAAAATTCACTTAAAATATAAAAAGAAAAAAGAAAATTCAGGAAATCAGGATCAGAAGGGCATTTTCTAACCTGATGAATGACATTAATAAGCAAAAAAGTCACTGTATGCATTCTATTAATAGTTAACTGTGAAAAGCATTCCTCTTGGGTCAAAGTGCTTGCTGGGCAAGCCGAACAACCTGAGTTTGGATTCCCAGAGCCCATATAAAAAGTCTGATGCAGTAGCATACATCTGTAATTCTAATGCTCCTATAGCAAGAGGGGAGGTGGAGACAGGAGACTCATCCAGAAACTACCCTCAAGTATATGGTGAAGGGGAGAAACAATAGAAGACCTTGCTTCAAAACAAGCGGGGAGATAAGACCCCATCAGATGGACTTGAACCAGTGTCCAGTCTATAAAGAGGAGGGTCAACACAGAGGAATCATTTCCTCCATGCTTCCAAGCGAAGCCAACCATAGTCGAACAGGACCTTTGACTTATCTTCACATAGGCAGAACTGGTAAAAGAAAGGAGCCAGGGGCTCCTCCCAGGCCCATGTGACCCCTGAGGAACAGATCCTCAAACGACCCTAAGAGTAAAAATAAATCGGTTTATCTGGACCAAC